CCATCATCCCCACCATCATCTCCACGATCGTCACCTCCACCATACCTATCCATCACCTGCGTCATCACTCACGTCATCATCTCCACGATCGTCACCTCCACTCTCACTGCATGAGGCTGCACTGAGATGACAACAGCAGAATTGGAATCAGAGCCTCTGACTCCTTTTCTTCCTGCTGCTTTGCATGAACATGTGAAACAGCCATTGGCACTGCTTACCAGTGGCTGGATGATGATTTACTATTGGATTAGAGAGGAATTTGATGATGCCAAATAAAAAAGACAAAGTATTTGATGGTACAAAGAAGTAAGGCCAGTTGTAAACTGTGTGGACTGCAGACAGGGCCAAATTCAGAGTATTTTATAAGAATAGAAGCACACCCTTGGCCCAGAGCTCTACTTGGTTGGTTTATCAACATGCAGGACAATTATTCTGCAACATCACTAAAAGCATGGTGGTTAATTTTATGTGTTAACTTGGCTGGGTTATGTTACCCAGTTCAGATGTTGCTGTGAGGTTTTTTTACAGATGTGGTGAACACTTAAGTCAGTTGACTTTGAGTAAAGCAATTCCCCTCCACAATGTGGGTCAGCCTCATCCAATCAGTGGAAGGCCTCCTTAGGAAAAAGACTGTGCTCCCCTGAGGAAGAGGGAATTTGTGTCAGATGGCCTGGGCGGGCAGCTGCCCCATCTGCTTCTTGCTGGGGCTCCAACCTGCCAGCTGCCTTGCAGACACAGACTTCCCCATCCCCACAGTCACGTGAGCCAGTTTCTTACAGATCGCTCTCTCTCTGTCTCTCTATACACACACACACACACACAAACACACACACACACACACACACACACACGCGTTCTGTTTCTTTGGAGAACACTGCATGACATACCAAGACAGTAGAAAATGTAAACATGCTAGAAAATTTTTTTGAAAATAATGTTTTTAGCTGAAAGGCTTAACAGATGCCAAGGATAAGGCCAGGCACAGTGGCTCATGCCCATAATCCCAGCACTTTGGGAGGCTGAGGTGGGCAGATTACTTTAGGTCAGGAGTTCAAGACCAGCCTGGCCAACATGGTGAAACATTGTCTCTACGAAAAATACAAAAAAATTAGCTGGGCATGGTAGCAAACACCAGTAGTCCCAGCTACTTGGGAGGCTGAGGCAGGAGAATTCCTTGAACCCGGGAGGTGGAGGCTGCAGTGAACTGAGATTGCTCCATTGCACTCCAGTCTGGATGAGACAGAGCGAGACTCCATCTCAGAAAAAAAAAAAAACATGTGGGGGCTAAAATACCTACACTACTTATTTAGAAGCCATCTCCTGGCTTCCTCAGAAATAATGTGGCCATTGTAGAATCTGCGTACTTAAAAGCAACACTGGGCCATGTACTCACTTTGGCTGCATCAGATATGGAGTCCCAGTTTCCCCCAGAAAGCGCGTACTTCCCGCTGCCGATCCGCGCCAGAATCTCCTCAGCGGTGTCATCTGGCCCATTGGCAAAAGGGGTAAATCTGCGTAATTAGACAATTTGCAGTAATAAGCTTCCATTTTACAACCTAAAATAAAGTTTGTAACTTGGTATCACTCCTTGGCTTTGCTTCTCCCTCCTCTGCTCGGAAGCCAGATTCACGGGAAAGCGGAAGTCACCTCCTAATGCGATGCCCGCTTTCCCTCCTTGGCCACTGCATGGCTAGAGGTTGACGGGCAAGTGTGAGGCCTTGCTCTATCCCTCCTGGACCCAGGGAACTGGGATGGGGCGGCCTAGGGAGTTGCCTGGTGCCATGGTTTCCACGGTGACGGTGTGGCATCATGCAAAAGAGCTCGAGACACGGCGGTTCATCTATTACCAACTCTGTGTTCTTTGACAAGTTAATTTTTTGAGCCTCCGTTGCAAATGCAGAGTGTATGCACAAACACACATAACATGCTGGGTGCAGCTCTGGCCATACTGCAAGAGTCTGAGAGGTGTTCACCGTGCCCACCTGAACACACACCCACACGTTCCTAGAGAAGGAATGCTACGTGATGCTGCCAGCGCTTCCTCTAGTGGGAGAGTCTGTGATCTAGTTTTCCATATAGGCAGAGCGAGTATTAGAAGCACACAGAATAAACTAACTGTGGTATCGGGAAGAAACTGAGATTCCTTCCTTTGTTGCTGCAGTCCTTGGGGTGTGGCTGCAGGCGCCTGAGTTCCCCTCCTGCTGTGGACACTACCTACTGACTTACTATGAAAAGCGCGAAAAGCAGGCCAAGCTCATTCATTCTCGTGAGGGCATTCGGGCCATTCTGCTACAGCTAACAGGACTGGATACTGCCTCTATTCAGGCATTTAACAAACGTAATAGAAACCAGTGGATGTTGTAGGCTCCTAGACCTCTCTGCCTGGAAGCAGCCACAGTGTGTCCACTTCTCACTTGGGGAGAGGGAAGGGAGGCTGGTACAGGTGGAAGTGCGTTGCCGAGTCACGGTTGTGGCGAGTGAGGCTCAGATGTAAGTTAGCCGTCCGGACGGCTCGGATGTAAGTTAGCTGTCTGGATGGCAGGCCTAGGCCAACTTCTGTAGCACCAGGTGTCTCCCCACAATGAACCAGTCTGTACATGACTCATGACCACGAAACCCAGGTACAGACTCTGACCCTGACGCTTCTATGGATGCTTTTTGGTTTAAGAGGATGTCTGGAAGGCAAAAGATGTTGCTACCTTTTAAGACAGTGGCACGGTTCAGCAGAGACTAGACACTACACAGGCAAAGACTTGGATGTTTTGTTCATGAGCTGAGTTGGAAGAATATGGGTGGCTACATTTCTTGTCCTTGCTGTTCAGCTGTCCTGAGGGGCTAAGGGAGTCTGTGAGAGTTCACTCTAGGCCTGGGAGTGTTTGCATAGGTGTTGGGTTTGCCCACATGTGCTCACTAGGACAGGCCCGGGCCTGGTCCCCTAACAGGCCAGCCACTGAGGCTGGTGCCCCGTGTAGACATATGCCCCTGACAACTGTCTGAGGCAACCGCTTACCCTGCCAGCATGGTGTACAGCAGGATCCCCAAGCTCCAGATGTCACACGCTGCATCGTAGCCTTGACGCTTCAGGACCTAGGAGGGAAAGACAGGACACTGGCATGCACTTCACTAAGGACATTCAGGTTGATAGCACATTTCTCCAGGGGCACCCTACGCCAGCCAGCTGGAGACCAGGAGGAGGACAGCACTGTGTCTTCAGTGCGACTGTTCTTTCTTAATGCGAAGCCAACCTAAGGTACTGCAGTGGGAATCCTCCCAGGGCAGCCGCATGGTGAGCCAGTACTGTCACCAGACACGTGACAGACAGGCTGAAAAGGACAGACTTAATTTTTTTTTTTTTTTTTTGAGATCGAGTCTGGTTCTGTCGCCCAAGCTAGAGTGCAGTGGCACAATCTTGGCTCACTGCAACCTCCGCCTCCCGGGTTCAAGTGATTCTCCTGTCTCAGCCTCTTGAGTAGCTGGGAATACAGGCACCCATCACTACGCCTGGCTAATTTTGTATTTTCAGTAGAGATAGGGTTTCACCATGTTAGTCAGGCTGGTCTCGAACTCCTGACCTCAGGTGATCTGCCCGCCTTGGCCTCCCACAGTGCTGGGATTTCAGGCATGAGCCACCACCCAGCCAACTTTGAAGGCAAAAGAATTTTTTTGTTATGGTAAAATACGTATAACATAAAATTTACCATCAAAGCCCTTTTTAAGCACATAGTTTAGTGGCATTAAGCTCATTTACGTCATGGTGCCAAGATCACCACTATCCATCCACAGAACATTTTCATCTTCCCAAACTGAAACTTTGTCCCCATTAAACATCAACTCCCTGCCCTCCAACCCCAACACCTACCCTTCTGCTTTCTATCTGTATGAATCTGACTCCTCTAGGGACCTCATATGAGTGGAATTATGCGATGCTTGTCTTTCTGCGACTGGCTAATTTCACCCTGCATAACACCCTAAGGTTCTTCCACATGTCTGAAGTTCCTTCCTTCTTCAGGAAGGACAACGCTCTACTGTGTGCACACACCACGTTTTGCTTACATATTCATCCACCGAGGGACACTCAGTGGCTTCCGCCTTTTGGCTGCTGTGAATAGTGCTGCTATGAACGTGGGTGGACACATGTCTGTTTGAGTCCCTGCCTTCAATTCTTTTGGGTATATACCCAAAGTTCCACTTCTGGGATACATGATAATGTTTAATTTTTTTAAGAATTGTTAAAGCAGCAAAGCTCTTATGCATCCTTGGATTACATACTTTAGTAGTTACAATCCTCTGACATAGTTACAGGTGAGTAACAGCACAGGAAGCCACATCAGTGCTCATGGGTTACTGCAGATGGCTGGATTCAGCATTAACTCTCGAGTTGGGAGAGCTTGGCTCAGTCCTTCCTTTCCGTATGGCTGCCACCATGGGGGCGATCAGCCAGCAAGTGCCGGATGAACGTGGTGTCCACGGTGCAAGCCTCACTTCCTAATCTGTCAGCTGGGCAAGCTGCAGAAGTCACTTACACACAGGGGGCTTGTGCCTTCTGAATCTGTGAAATGTGGTTAATAGTTTATATACTCCCTACTTCATATGGTGGATGAGAGTAAAAGTAAAAAAAAGTTGGTAAAAGTTCTTTGTAAATGGCCAAGGAATATCACAATCTAAGGCATTCTGTAATCAACAAAATCAATATTGTGGGAGAGTAGAATATGCCACCCCAGAATATGCTGCATAGGCATGAGGGGCGCTGAGCTGAAGATAAAGCAGCAGCAGCAGATGCAGGAGAGCTCTGTGTCCTCCACTTCCCTCAAATCAGGACACAGTTTAAGACAAAAGTACCCACCCCCCACCAGGGAGGACAAAGGCTACCCCTGAGGGCAGCTTTGGTCCCATGTGGTCCCATGTGGGACCAGTCTCCATTGGCCAGCCCTGTGCCTCCCCAGCTACAGTCCCTGAAGACCCAAAGGCCTCTTCCTTTGTCTTGCCAGGTCTTTAAAAGTTCCCTGTTCTTTGTTGAAGATGCCACGTAGGCCAGACTCAAAGCCACCTCTGTGAGAATGACACATTTCCTGGGTGTCTTCCATGCACACGTGAGAAGATCTGTGTTAAAAACTTGTTTGTGGGCCGGGCGCGGTGGCTCACGCCTGTAATCCCAGCACTTTGGGAGGCCGAGGCGGGCGGATCATGAGGTCAAGAGATCGAGACCATCCTGGTCAACACGGTGAAACCCCGTCTCTACTAAAAAATACAAAAAATTAGCTGGGCATGGTGGCACGTGCCTGTAATCCC